CTTTCCAATTTCATTTCCTGGTTTTCGCCAAAAGCTCGTTCTTCATGAACTTCCGTCTTCTTCCGGTTAATTCGCAATCCCCGCTTTCCTACTTCGTTTCTTTCAACACCGTTTCTGATATTCTCGGGAAGAGAACAATTTTGTCCGCAAAACGAAGGTTTGAGAGGAATCTCCTCATTTCAATTCAGTTTCACCACAATCTGCAATGCGGCGAAGCTTTGCGAAACGTTGTCGCCTTCTCGAACCCCTTTTGAAATTGATATGTTAATGGGGCGATGGAAAGGCTGTACCGTTGTAGAGCAATTCCTGTAGCAGTCGGCCAATGTCCTCAAGATGGGTCCACCCTTTGGTCAACAAGTGCTGAAAGTATGACATTAGTCTCGACGTCGAACGCTTTCTCATAGTCGGAAAGTTGGGACGAGAGGTGGGCGGTACTGATGTAAACCTCGGTAGCCCTCGAAACCGTCTGGATGTGATTCACGTAGCTGAATCCCTTGCGCAATTCAACATGTTCTACCGGTTGAGCTTCATCCAGTGCCCTTGATTTACGAGTGAGGATAATCTTCAATAATAAAGCACGCACAGCAGGAATATTGAACGGTAGTTCCGAAGATCCGCCCTATTGTCCTTCTTATGAAACAGGATCGTTAGGGAAATTCTCCCCTGGTCAACAATCATTTCTTTCTGAAGGTAAGACTTTAGGGGTGCCGAGTATCTCGTGTAGGCGATATCCTCCAGCTGAGGCCGGCCGATATATGGTGCGGTCCCGGAGCCGTGGCTGCCTTCATGGTCTGGACTGGGACGTATACTTTAGCAGGTAGAATCCGTGGTGGTATTTCTCTGAGGATAACGGGGTTTGAAACAGGTGTTGATAAACGAAAGAGATCGGTGTAGAATCTCTTCGTGATCAATTCCATCTTTTGCTAGGAAGATGCGCGAGTCTTGTCTTCGTTTAGTAATGTTTCCAGCGGAACACTGTAGTTAAGAAGATCCTTGCAGCACTTCTTTAGACTTCTCCTTTCCTGTGCTGCTCCCAAAAGTTTCGATTGCTTGTCCTTTCGAAGATCTTCTTGCAAAGATGTTCTGCAACTGATATTGGCTACCATTATGATCCTCATCATCCAGCAGATCCTTACGGCTTTCGAAATTCGTTCTAAGTTCCTTGTGCGAAGCATTGAGGCACCCTGGCTCTCAGTCCTTAAGAAGCAGGTCGTCGTCTGTCGTTGGGTCCACCTCGATGGGCCAGTCACGGTCAGGAGCTCCACCAATCTGCTGCTGTCTTGCTTTTCTCCTAATACGGTGGCAGATCTTCTTTTCCAGCTCTCGGCTGAATCGCACTTTTGCTCGAAAAAGGCCTTGATTTGAAGCATTACTGAAGGATGTTACCTCTGAGACATCCAGTAAGGACCACCCTCGGTTGGTGAGAATGTGGTCGATCTCCGCATGAGTCGTATCGTTGGGTGACTCCCATGTCCACCACCGGTGTTCTTCCTTCATAAAGATGGAGTTACCATGAAAAAGTCGGCGGCGTATAAAAGCCCAACAAGATTACCATTCTTATTCCGGAGTTCCGCTTCAAATCACCCTTTTCCATGCTCCCTTCTTCTGGCATCCTAATCGCATTGAATCACCCATGGTGAACTTATAAAAGGAATTTTCCTCCAAATCCTCATAAAAAGCATCAAGTTCCGAATCATCAGCCGCTGATTTTGGAGAAAAGTAGTTGATGGTAGTGATGGTTTTCTGATGTAGGACGGAATCGAAGGATGGCAAGAGGAGGTGATATTTTTCATGCGAATTGACAAGATGGACAAAAGATGGGTTTACGACAAATCCAACGCCTCCAACGTTCCATCATGGAACTTTCTCGCCAGGAATGATGAGTGTGCCATCACTCTGCTGCCTCATGTCCGTCTTCCTGGACTTTGTTTCCTGCAAAGCGATTACGTGGTAGTTGATGCACCCTGCAGCTTTCAAGAAGGGTGTGAAGGTGAGCGTTGGTGGAGACTGTCCTGG